TTAAGGTTAATGCATCTTAAACTGCTCTTAGGGTAGGCAAAAGGTGTTAATGTAACCGCGCATCGAACAAGTACGCCAGCCAGCCAGCCTACTGATGACAAAAGAGAACATACGGTAAGAGGCCTATTTTATGGCATATCTACCGAACTCTTGATTGTCCTTTTTGAGTAGGAACCTTTGTTTGAGCGTGGTTTTTAAGAGTGTCTTGGGATAAGGCCGCACGATAATTAATTTTAAAATCACACTCAGATAAGCCTTCATAATGAAAAATGCACTTCATAATTTCAATTAACATTCCCTGAGATCTGTCACTGATTGCAAGTTAAAAACATACTTATGCAATTAACGGTCTTAGTCTAGGTATCCCTTTTATTGAGAGATGGTATAAATAAAGGCAAGTAAGGTCAGGGTATCAAAAAGGGTGCCAAATACGACGCCCGTATTTTACCGCGCAGTCGAACCAGATTCGCGACTGGCAATCTCGCATGACCCCGGTTGAAATCCAGTCAGTGCTTTAGAGAATAGTATGAAGCAAAAATATTTAAAGGCCTACTGTCTTAAGAAGATACGTCAGTCACGTCACACGGACCCCAAATATCCTATCTGTAGGTACCCATTACTTGTCCTTTAGTTATTACGATGAGATTAACTAATAGGTTCTAATCCAATCGAAGGGCTCAATTTTGCAGATAATACAAAAGCGTTCCGTTCAATTGGTTAAAGCAGGTGCAGTAAAATAGGGCATTAGGTCATCGAGGAAACTTTTTTTAATTTTTCCAGCATGAATTTTAACTTTAAGTTTGTGCATTGCTGCTGAAATAATCTCTTTTTTTCTAAAAATTGACAAAAATTGCGAATTGTATGTTTTTGTCCTCCAAATGCTAACAGTGTCCGCTAAACCCACCCTATATTTGTTTTTCCCTTTTCGAAGGAGTCTTTAAGGCAACAGAAGCTGGAGAGGGAAGAGGATGCTAGAAAAATAGCGGAGAGAATCGAAGATGAACGCAGGCTACGTAGAGCTGAAAAATACAACCGACATCTGCAACAAATCCGTGTGGAAATTTTGTTGCCAATTGTTGACTTTGCAACCAAAATCGCCGAATACCGTGAGATGACTGGAAGGTTTGTCGTGTGCCCGAAATTTTCTTTAATTCTCTAAAGAAGTGATGGGAGACAATGCGACGTAAACTGTATGATTTAGTGTCTTGACAACAGGGGTTCAGGTATGCGTGTTTTGCCGAACCTGTGCTGCTGCTCGACGTAGCTGCTAGTGGTTCAGGTCAACAGTGGGTCCCAGTGTGCTCCCTAAACGGACCCCGTGACATATACGCTGGACCAACATGGGCGCCGAAGCAGGGCACGACAGGCGTTATTCGGGGTCGCGCTCCGCTAACAAATGCCGAGCATGAGAGGGGGCGCAGGATAAGAATTAGAGTTCATCTTCTGCTCTCCGGAATGATTTGTAGGTTTGCTGACGTTTCAGACCGGTGTACAGGCTGTCCTTTGCCGAAGCGAATACTGACTTTATCGATCAGAAAGTTAAAAGTTGCGGTTGTACGTGTTGGACTTTGGCTGGTCGATTTTTCTCCGTTCGCTGTTTGGCCTTGCATGTGGATTTTGGCTTGGCATGACGGCCGCTGGTGTTCTGTTTTGTCCCCACGGTAGAAGATGTTGGTAATCCTGCTCCCTCTTCCGGTGGTTTCGCCATCTTCGTCTGCAAATTCTGACTTTGGTTTGACCGTGTCCTGTCTTTTACTTACTTAATGGTGTAGGACTTCGTAGACCGCAGGGAGGTCCAGATGCCTGTTGACAGAGTTGGCGTCTGAGTACCATGCCTCAAGCGTCAATCTTTCAGCTTTTGAGGCTCATCGGCATACGATGATCGTTCCTTGAATATCGAAGTCGTGGCCACTGTTGCATGAGTTAAGGGAAAGTGCGATAGCCGCTTCGAAAGTCTGCCATCACTTACGACTCATCCACGCGCAGGTCACCGCGTTTGCTTCCAGTTTTCTAAAGCACGCGGTGGACACTGTCGAAGCCGACGTTCGCACTGTCGGGTCCCACAACTTTCCCTGTGTGATTCTCGGTAGAGTAACCCTAGTTCCCATTTTGTGCAGTGGTTAATTTGCGAGGACATGAATGTGCAAATTCGGACAAAAATATTCGATCCAACTATTCACCTCACCTTTGGAACCGAGCGTGAAAAGCATAGTTTCCAAGGCATTCCTCCATGTCCGCGCACTCATTTCCTCAAACATTACAGAAGGTGGCAATGCGGCATAAATAAATTAAGAGAATGGTAGGGATTTGTTGTAGAGCTGTCTGAGGGACGGCATTTATAATAATAAAAAACGACTTTTAAAATTTTAATAGGTGGAATTCCTGCCTGTCCAACCACTTCTTGAAATACGTTAACTAATGGGATTTGTTTTAATATATTCGTTTGTCTATAAGCATCGTTTGCACTCTAATTTGTCCATTACGCAACCTGTTCACCTGCATCTTTAGTTCAGTATATCGATTGCAAGCGGTTTTAATTTCATTTTTATTGCGTAGTTAGTTCAGATATTAATTCCTCCTGGAGCCTTTGAAAAGAAGGACTCTTGCTCCGTTATCGATAAGGTCTGTTCCTGTTCCCTTATTTTAAGCCATTTATTTTACGCTCCGTGTGAGTTTCTTCCACTCTGTCTAAGACTTCGCTCCGCCTTGGGAACCCAAATTGTCTACCTTCCGTCAACCTCAACAGCTGAAGAAATATTAGTACACGTGCAGTCGATCACGGGAAAATTTTTGATTTTCTAATTTTCAGATTAATTCCCCTTTCTCTGTTTCGACAATGGCGATTACTTCTGCTCAGCGGAAAGCCTCTATTCCCTGAATCACACACTGCTGATCAGGAAATTGATACAGCTAGCGACACGGTGGCCCTGAGGATGAACTCGACTGAAATCGCGGAGGATCGAGAAGCACTCCTCGATGAGCAGGATCTTCAAGATTATATAGTAAGTCATATGTTCCCAAGATTACGCCTACTCAGAAAGAGGAGAAAAAGCGTTCACTGCTATTGGTTTGTTTTCTGTTTTACGTTTCAAAGTGGACTATCGGTCCTTCGTCATTTGAGACCGATGCATTTACTGCGGTGTCGCGTTATCAGGTCCCTCTCTGAGACGCGCACTTTTGACTGTTTAAATGACTATGTAGAATCGCCCGCGTTTGGGCATCCGCACGCTTTGCTTTATTGCTTACTAACTGTTATTTGGGTGCGCAAGGCCGCTCAGGCAGTAGGTAGGCCACTGTGACGATTAAGGCTTTTCTGATGGCTAGCTTTCGTCCTCGGCTATGATATGGGCCCTCCATATCAACTGCAGAGATAAAAAACTCACGATCAGCCGTGGCAATCTGGCATGTTACAGATGAGTTCGCGTTCGTTCATGTCAGCGCCAGCCTCTGCTCCTCGATCTTCGTTCTCAACTGTTAATTGACTTCTCCGTTATGGTTACGTTCTCCGCATCTACACTGTAACCGGTAAAAAACCCGGAGCCCCTTCCGTTGCGCACCTGATCCACCCGTTATTTATTTTGAGGAGAAAGCACTACTCGTTGAAACATCAAATAGCAAACAAGCATAGAATGGCAAACGTTTCGTGTACTCTCTGATTCCCCCTTGAACATTGTTAACAAAAGCAGTAGAATAAGAAAGGTTATAGGTAATAAAAATAGAAATATTATACAATATCAGGCAGTGGGTCTGGCAGCTCGTGTGTAAATCGTCGCACGCCGCGCACGTCAAATATTGACGATTACGCGCGCGTGCAGAAATTGCAATGCGATTGAAGTGCGCGAACCAATCAGATTTTAGATTGCGTCACTGCGCTAACCAATTACGTTAAAGTATTGCGTATCCCTAAAAATTGCTATTCACGTAAAGCTATTGGATATCTAAGCCGTTCACGATTCACGCAGTTGTCAACCCCCGCAAGTATTTCGACCTCGTCAAACGAAAAACTGTGGCCTGGTCTCGTGACATGAACCGTGACCTGAAAGTTAGCCTCCTTCCCCCCCACTAACACCGTATATTCGGCTATCCTAGTGCGGAGTAGGCTCCCTGTTCGGCCGGTGCAGTTGCTTTGTCCGCAACTGTATCATATTCGGTAAATGAATTCAGACGTCTTCTGCCGCGGCAGTGGACCTTTTGGCCACATTACTAAATATTTGCTTCTGGTCGGTGTGCAGATCCAACTCCCAGTGGTGTAAGAAAGCAGCTAATTCCGTCCGAGACGTTTTTCACGTACGGGAGCGCTCGCCAAAATTTGAGGTTGGCGCGGTTCGGTCTCTGGCCTTTGTTACGCCTACACCTGTCAACAAAGTTGTGTGGGTAACCGTTTGCTCTGAGCACCCGTCGAAGGTACTGCAATTCAGAAACTCTGTCTTCCGGTCCTTTGCAATGAGTCTTAACATAGTTCAACGTTGCAATATATTGAAAGCCGGGTCTGTAGATGGTTTTGTCGCCCCGACAGACATTCAAATCCCGGGTGATCCGCACATGGGATTGGGTCTGACTGGCTTATTACGGCTTATGAGCCAGAAATGGTCATTCCGGTCTCCCTAGCCTTTTTCGGATCTACTCATTGTGCGGCCGTCTGTTGTTAAGAAAGGTTGCATCTCACATGTTTACATTTATTGTTCGAATGGAACGCGCGAGGAACTGGCTAAGGAAATTTGAGCATGTGGAATAGAGTCGACTATCCAGGACCGCGTGTTTGCCATTACGGTCTGTGTAAGTCATTAACCCTGCTGGTCTCTTGTGGTCGTGTGTTCCTTCTCCGCAGCCAGAGTTAGC